GCCTCTTGAGGGGTTCAGAGGCCAGACACGAAGCCGGACAGAAAGAGCTATCCCAGAGAAGCAACTGGCAGCCCAGAACCGCACTGATGTCAGCCACTGTTAGGAGAACTCATCTGTACTCGGCCACCTGGCAGGGTTATGTGCCTGGGAAAGGAAACAGTGTTTTGTGCTCCTTTCCAGGGGCCTGTTTCTTTCTTCTTCTTTCTTGGCAAGAGCAGCAATAAGGCTATCCCACTGCACATCTTGGCGATAGTATTCTGGTTCTGCCATTCTTGGGCATGGTGGTGCCTGGCTCTGCCAGCCTCTGGGTGGCAAGAGCAGGGGCAGCAATAGCCATGGCCTTTCAGCCACCAACAGGACGCACAGCAGCTAAGTTCATGGCAACACAGAAGCCCCCCTGAGTTTCCAGAAATCTTTGGGGAGGGGAGATCTATGGAATCCACACTCAAGTGGGAAGCCTCAGAGCAGGTTTCTCCATCTTGGCACTACTGACATTTTGGACCAGATACTTGGGGGGCTGCCCTGTGCACTGTGGTATGTTGAGCAGCATCCCTGACCACCACCCATTAGATGACAATATCACCTCCCTCCCCAACTTGGGAAAACCAAAAATATCTCCAGGCATTGCCAAATGTCCCCTGAGGGCAAAATTGCTCCCAGGTGAGATCCACTGGCTCAGAGCATTCTTGTTTGGACATTAATAACTATAGGACAATGGTTTTACTCATCAGGTGGGGGAGCCTGGGACCCCCAGATGGTCCTGACACTTGCAGTTTTGTTCTGTCTGTTGAAAAATATTAGGAAAACACAGAAAAGCCAAAAAAAAGCAAATAAAACTCATCTACACTCAAGGCTAACCTCTCTTAATAATTTGGTGTATTTTTTTCCAGTCTTTTTTCTACACTTGATAATTCTAATAGCCTAACCCTAACCATAACCCTTTATTAAGTACTTCCCCTCTGCCAGGCATTGTGCTAAGTGCTTTCCATGATCATCTCATTAATCCTCCCAATACCCCTAGGAGATGATACTATTATATTTTTTTTATTTTTATTTTTTTAAAAGATGACCGGTAAGGGGATCTTAACCCTTGACTTGGTGTTGTCAGCACCACGCTCACCCAGTGAGCAAACCGGCCATCCCTATATGGGATCCGAACCCATGGCCTTGGTGTTATCAGCACCACACTCTCCCGAGTGAGCCACAGGCCGGCCCGAGATGATACTATTATTATCCCATTTCACAGATGAGGAAACTGAGGCTCAGAGTTCATTTAACATTACATCATGTGTATTTTTAAATGTTATCCTTCAAAAACATTATTTTCAAATGCTGAATAATGTTCTATTGATCATACAGCTGAGGCTGCTTATTTTCTTCACCTATTCCCAGTTGTTGGAATAGTCCACAAACATTTCCCTGTTCCATAGCAGGATCACATGAGAGGCTGGTGGCAAAGAAGAGTCACAATTTATGCCCACAAGCACACCATCTTATACCGTGGGACTGTGAGGGTGAGTGCATTGATCAAGGGGCTGAGAGAGCTGTGCCCCTAAAAGCTCAGCAATGAGGGCTCTGCCCATCTCTACCCACTGGGGGCAGAACATCATGAGCACTACACAAGTCTTCAAGGCCAGTTCTGTTTGGACCCTAATTCACAGGACACCTCACACACAGAGTTTTGATCCTTTGTTAACTGACTCTAGATGCAGCTGGGCTACATACAGTTAAATGCATTGGAAAGAGTTGTTCACACAGGAGCTGTTTGTCATTATCTGTTTTCTCCCCCAATGGATGTGAAAATGCCCCATCATGTAGGGTCTGAGAACTTTGCCATTACAAAGGGCACCATATTGGAAACAGCTCATGCCCTCTTCTGGGGACTTTCAACCCTCCCCATGGCTGCAAGTCCCACCTCTGGGCAGATGTTCCCACAGTCCTACCTCCAGGTTTTTCCTCTCTCCCAAGCTCAGTCTCCTCTTGCCTGGTGGGCATCCTCTCTGGGGTCACTGCTCATCACATCAACATGGTCCACTCCCCCCAGACCTGCTTTCTGCCCCTTGGAGCTGTCCCTCTGGCAAGTAGCTAATTTGGACACTCCCATTTTTCAGAAGGGGAAATCAGGGTCTGAGCAGGTGGCAGCATGCCCAACGTCTCATGGAGTTTAGTCTAGAGCTAGTGGAATTAGGTGGCTATTTTGCTCCCACAGCACCATCTGACACCACCTCCTTCCTGGTTCCTGGCACTGAGTGGGCACCACAGATGGGCAGTGCCTAATGGCTGCCTCTCAGTGCCATCTGCCTCCCTATTGGGGATGGCATGGGCACAGAGTGGCCTCCAGGGAGGAGCTCTGCAGCTGATGGGAAGTCAGGCCCAAGACTTGGCTTGGAGACTTGGAGATTTGGGGACTTCCCAGACCTTCCCCAAGAAGCCAGCCTCTGGTGGCTGTTGGCCCCAGAAAGTCTTAACAGTTTAAGCACAGATCTGTGATTTTCAAGCTGTGTGGCCTTAGACAATCACTGAACCTCTCTGAGCCTCAGTCTGCTCATCTGTAAGATGGGATCAAAAACAGGACAATGAGAAAATGCAAGCAAGAGCTTAGCACAGAGTGGGCTCATGATTAGCACACAAGAGCGAGCTGCCACTCTTACAGCTACGGCTATCATCAAGGTTAATAGTACTCTTATTGTTGACAGTGCCCTGGGCCCTTTACCAACTCATGTTACAGATGAGGACTGTGAGGCTCAGAAAGGCACATGGCAAAGACAGAACCAGGCATTGGACTAACTTCTTTCTCCCTCCTGGTGGCACCCACATCATGGGGATGCTGTGAGGCCTAAGTGAGAAAATGCTGATACAGTGTTTGGCAAGGGACTGGGCATGCAGTTAAGTGTTTAGTCAAATGGCAGCTCCTTGCTCCTGGCCATTTCCCTTTTTCCCAGGCTCCAGCTCTCCTTTGTCCTGCTCTCTGTAAGGAGGGGGCTGGGCTCTACTCTGTCACCCTCCCAAGGGACAGTGCCTTCCTTCAGCAACCAGGACCACAGAAGGTGACTAATAGGGACTTCCAGGCACCAGGGCAGGTCGGCTGGGATGAGACTCAAGGGCATGGGATTCCCCCAGAACCCCTCTGTGATCTCAAGGACAACATGACAGACATAGTGGTAGGAACACGGCTCTCAGGCCTCATGCATGACTGGGGCAAGTGACTTCACCTCTCTGAGCCTCAGTTTCTTTTTCCATAAAATGGAGAGAATATTAGTACCTCCTTCAAAGGCAGTTGAGGGGACTCATGGAGATATTGCAGATGTGTGTTTGGATGAATGGGTGTTCCAGGCTAGTGATGTTCAAGGGCGTGGGGAGGTCCAGGCAGGGGGAAGGGCAGGAGTCAGCCAGTGCCTTCCCATGAGAGCTAATCATCAAATTTTCGGAATTTTGAGAGTCAGTTGCTTAATAAATTAAATTATACTATATTAAAAACCAAGGTCATCAATACTCCAAAATCACCACTTTCTAGTTATTTTACTACATTCCACTATTATCTACGCCCTTGAGGTTAACATCTATTTATTGTATCATCTACTATATAATGGTGTAGCTCAAAATCGGCCATAGGACTATTCACACTGAGGAAAATGGCAAACACTACAAATCAGGGCTTTCCCTCCCTGCCACTCCAGGGAGCCAGTTGTTAAACGTTTACCAGCACCCAGTCTGGCTGAACGATCCCTCCTCCTCCATGCTCAAGAGTGGACAAAAGGAAGGACCAGGCTTCCAATGGCTCTGAGAGCTGGTGGTGGGTGCCCCCTGGTGGTGCTTCAAGCCCCCATCATCACCGACATTGGATGAAATCCTGCACCTGGAGGGGAGGGAGACGGAGACGGAGACAAGAAATCTGCAAAAGGATAGCCCCCTTCCAATCCACACATGAAAAACCAGCCCTGTGCGGTCACACAACACCCTTGAACCCATGCATTCAGGAAGCCCTCAGAGGAAAGGGAAAAGTCCCCAGAAGTATGGGGTAACAGACCCTGGGGAACCACTCAGATGTCTCTATGTCCCTCAGCCCCTGGGTCCACAGCTCCATGCTGTGAAGCCCCCAGCTACCCTTCTCTGATTTTTCTCGTCACTCCTGGTGGGAAGGAAGTCATATTTCTCTGGACCCATCAGCCTGCCTCCTTTAGTACCGGCTGCCCCAGCCCCCGGGGAATACCCTGCCCCTCTCCCACCAGCACCCTCAAAGTACCCAGAACCTGCTCCCAGGTGATGTCTGGTCCCTCTGGCCTGTCTTCAGCAAGAATCCTATTAGGTGGGTTTAGCCAGAATCCTCTTCCCCCTGATGTTTCCTCTTCATAATTTTCCACCCACTGACCTGTATGTCTGGTCCCTCTGGCCTGTCTTCAGCAAGAATCCTATTAGGTGGGTTTAGCCAGAATCCCTCTTCCCCCTGATGTTTCCTCTTCATAATTTTCCACCCACTGACCTGTGCCCTGCACCCTGGCTGTAAATTCCCACCTGCCTGTGCTGTGTTCAGAGTTGAGCCCAATCTCTCTCCCCTGCTGCAAAGTCCCACCGCACTGGACCCTACACCTATTGCAGTAGCTCCCCCACCTTGAACAAAGTCTTCCTCACCATGACTTAACGAGGGTCATTGAATATTTTTTTTTTCTTTAACAGGAGGATGGCATTGATGTTTAGCGGGGGATCTGTCTGAGATTTGAGGGGAACCACATTCCACAGGGCAGAACTGGGTCACCAGGGAAGTTGAATAAAGTGGTCCCCGGGGGGCCAGCCCCCTCTTCCCCACACATCCTGAAACCTTTCCTGACCACCCAAGGATGTACTGAGACGTCTTATTACCAATATTGAAGTCAATCTGACAGCCCACGGAGGGGGCTTCCTGAGGGGCCTGGGGCTGAGGGCAAACAGCTGAGGACGAACATCCCACCACATGCTGAGGGACAGAGAATTCAGGGGAGGCTGCCTGGAGGAGGTGGCCTTGATACCTCTGAGGATTCACCATCTGTTCATCACACTTTTATTGAGTGCCTGTGCTGTGCCAGGCCCTGGGCTGGGCAGTGGGGTACTGTGGTGAATGGCACAGAGCCCACTCTGAAGCGTGGCCACACGGGAAGGCCAGGGAGGGCAGGATGGTGGTTACTGAGTCACCACATGGAAGCTCATTGGTCCACACAGTCCCAAAGAAGGGTCTACCCTTGGGCTCTCCAAACCCACCACAGCCCTCATGGGTGGAGTCCTCACCCTGGTTCCCCAGAGAAGTGCCCAAGAAAAATCAAGCTGCCCAAATCAGAGTAGCCACAGGTAACGGCCTCAGGAATCCGTCGCCTCCTTCCTGTTTGGTGACCGTGGCAATCAGAAGTAAATGGCAGTAGAAGGGGGGTAGGGGAACTCAATCCTCCTCAGGACGTGGGGTTGAGACTCCCATGGTATCAGAGGAAGGAGGACAGAAGCGGGAGGCATTAGAGGGGACCCAGAACAGATGGGGGACAGGGAGCAGGACAGGATCCCTCTGGGCAAAATGGTTGCCTGCCCATGGTCCTTGGCCTGTCGGTGGCCGGGCTCCACTCGAGGCAGGAGAAGGAGATGGTTCCACTCGTGGCAGGACCTTGGCTGCTCTTGATGCTGTTTGAGGCTGCCATGGACCTTTCCTCAGGGGGTTTCAAGGAAGCCCATACCTGTGGGATAGAGGTCTAGGTGCTCAGAGGGGACCCGGGTGGACCTCAGACGGGGTGAGGAGGCCAGGGTCCTGCTGAGGCAAACAGACAGAGGGAGCTAAGGGAGGAAGCTGTGCAGGGTGAGGTCGTCTCCATCGTGGTCCTCACTGGGCTCCGCCATTAGGCCCTGGCTCTTGGCCTTGGGCAGGGTCCCGTTGGCCATGGTGGGGGGCCCATCACCCCTGTCAGGGAGCAGGGACGAGATGCAGACCATCTCGGTGGGGGAGTAATTGCGCACGGGGTACATGTGGGTCTTGCGGGAGAGGCGGACAGCCAGCACCACAGTGCACACGAGGAATACAGTGGCCACCAGGGCCAGGATGAGGATAGCCAGCAGGCACTGCTTCACAGGGATGCAGTCCAGGGCTTCTGTGGGGCTGGAGGCCACAGAGCTCCCAGTGGGGAAGACCTTCCCATATTTCCTTTTGACTATGTCAGACAAAGTGCTGGGTGCCACAGTGGTACCCTTGTGAGTAACCGAGGGCACAAGAAAGGTTGTGGCCAGATCTCTCATGGAAGTGGGCTCTGTGGACAGGGCCTCCATGGCAGCTGCTGGCCCTGTGGACAGGGCCTCTGTGTCAGTGGGCTCTGTGGAAGGGGCTTCTGTGACAGCTGGTTCTGTAGACAGGTCCTCTGTGGCTGCTGGACCCATGGACAGGGCCTGGGTGGCTGCTGGTTGAGTGGTCTGTGCCTCTGTGGCTGCTGGTTGAGTGGTCTGTGCCTCTGTGGCTGCTGGTTGAGTGGTCTGTGCCTCTGTGGCCACTGGACCCATGGACAGGGCATCCGTGGCTGCTGGTTGAGTGGTCTGTGCCTCTGTGGCCACTGGACCCATGGACGGGGCCTCCATGGCTGCTGGCTGAGTGGTCTGTGCCTCTGTGGCTGCTGGTTGACTGGTCTGTGCCTCTGTGGCCACTGGACCCATGGACGGGGCCTCCATGGCTGCTGGCTGAGTGGTCTGTGCCTCTGTGGCTGCTGGTTGACTGGTCTGTGCCTCTGTGGCCACTGGACCCATGGACGGGGCCTCCATGGCTGCTGGCTGAGTGGTCTGTGCCTCTGTGGCTGCTGGTTGACTGGTCTGTGCCTCTGTGGCCACTGGACCCATGGACGGGGCCTCCATGGCTGCTGGCTGAGTGGTCTGTGCCTCTGTGGCTGCTGGTTGAGTGGTCTGTGCCTCTGTGGCCACTGGACCCATGGACAGGGCATCCGTGGCTGCTGGTTGAGTGGTCTGTGTCTCTGTGGCTGCTGGACCCATGGACAGGGCATCCGTGGTGGTCAGCTCTATGGATAGAGCCCCCTGGTTGGATGGAGCCTTTGTGATGGGAATGATTACAGCAACCAGCTCTGTGACCAGAGGGTCCAGTGTGACTGGAATCCACTGTGCGGCCAGTTCTGTGCTTAGATTGCCCGTGGCTGCCCCTCCTGTGTTTGGGGCAGCAGAGTCTCTTGTGGCAGCCTCCACAGAGACTGGCTCAGGGGTTCCAGGCCCTGCAGAACCTCTCTGTCCCAAATTTCCCATCTCAACCAAGGTGTAATTTTCAAGCATTTCTGGAGGGTCTGTGGACTGGTCATAGTCCTCATCCCAGTCTTCATCCATGGCCACCTGTCTCCGGTCCCGGGCAAGCAAGGGGCCTGGGGCTTCCTTGGCTCCATCCTCCCAGGTGTCCTGCAGCTGGAAACTGCTGCCATGGCCCACTAGGATCAGCAGCAGGAGGAGTTGCAGAGGCATGGCACCTGGGGGAGACATTGACAGAGGGACGTCAGGGCAGCTTCACCCCTGGAACTGCCAAGCACCCTTACTGTGACCCTGGACTGTCAGCTGGGATGATGTTTGGTCTGGGGCAGACACTGTGGCTCTAAGCATCCCCATGACCCACCACATGCCTAATGCAGAGTGGACCCTCAGCAAGTAGCAGCTATTATTATTATTAGTCAACATGAATAAAGCCATTTGGGGAGTTCTTCAACTTCCTCTGTATGGTGCATAGAAACCTTACTGCCTCCCTATCATTTTTTGTTAAAACTTTTTATTTGTGGGCAAGATAACTCATTAGGGTGTAGAAATAAAATACTAGAGCTCCCAGTTATATATAAAAAAAAAGGGGGGGGCAGCTGGCCAGTATGGGGACCCAAGCCCATGACCTTGGTATTACAAGGCTGTGCTCTAACCAACTTCTAGTTTTATAAACTTTTTATGTCACTTTCCTAATCTCTACTTTTGTATATATTTATATCATAAGAGTACAGTAATCTCTTTATATAATTCATAAATAGATCAATCGGTCACTGACAGGGCCCACAAGCAGAAGGGTTTGGAAACCACAGGTCTGCAGGATAAAGCTGCCTGTTGGACCTTTGAAGCCTCTTGGAGCCTAATCCTGATCCCACCACCCAACCCCTGCCTTCACATCACTCAGTTCCCCCCTCCCCTATCTTGTCTCCCACCCCCCATAGCCCTTGCCAGTCCTCAGAGTCTCAGTGTGTCTCACCCTTTCTCAGTGACTCAGCTTGGTCCCATTCTCTTTGGCTGTGTCCTTGCCTGCACAATGGGTATGACATTACCTATCTTATAGGCTCTTGTAAGGATGAAATGAGATGATGAATGCAAAGGTTTTAGCACTTTGTCTGTACGGCAAGTTCTCAGCAAAGGTTGGCTGCTTTGTTTCTTTTAGTCAACCTATCCTGTAAATCCTCAAGGGCCCAGAGCCATTAACTGAACTCTCTGGGGGCCAGGAGAAAACTCAGATCTTTTCAGATCAGCCCTCCCCTCAAGGAGCTTACAGTCATTACATTTGCCTGTGTGTAGGACCACTGTCCATTCTGAGCGTCCACACTGTCCTCCCTACCAAGCAGCCAGAAAGGACAGTGCCTCTCCCTTTGGCCATCTCATTGGTCTCATTCTTTGGCATTGTAAACACAAGTCCTTTCTTGTTTTCTCTCTCTCTCCTTACACTCCCACTGGCACTGGCTTGTATTTATAGGATTCAAAATCTTACCCTTGAGAATCCTGTGGTGAGTGACAGTTGTGTTGTGGAATAGGATTCAGATATCCCTGGGTCTCCTGGACATAATGCCCTTCACCAGCACACAACCCCTAGAACAGTGTCTGGGGCAGAGTGGACATTCAAAAATGCAATGGATAATTTCCAGTATCTTTCTTTGCACTTCATTCACATGATTCAGAGGAAAGACTGGTTGTTCATCATTCCTTGAGTGACTATAGCTTACTCATGGGCCCCTCTGGTTCCAGGCTCAATCTGACCTCTTTTACATGTTAGTTAGACTTATGTTGGCTACTAAAATGCAAATCTGATCACATCTTAAAATAATTTCTTAAAACAAACTTTATGATATTTGCACCAGACATATCTGGCCTTCACAATTGTTCCCATTTTATGGAGGAGGGATCTGAGGCTCAGAGAAGTGAAGCAACTTGCTTAAAGACACACAGCTGGCAAGTGGCTGAGATCAGATTTGAACCCAAAGAGGACTCGGGAAGGCTTCCTGGAGAGACCTGACCTAGTTGAGGGTACAAAAGGCTGGTTTCGGGGGCCCAGGTGGGAGAGGAAGGGCAGAGTGAGAAAAAGAGGAGCTTGAAAGGCATATATCACCTGGAAAGGTAGGCCCCATATGTACCATACAGGTTCCATACAGGGCATAGGATTGAAAGCACAGACTATGGAGTCAGACAAAAGAATGTTTGGTTCTCAGCTCTGTCTCTTACAAGCTGTGTGATTGACTTTGAGACAGATCCTTGCCTTTCTGAGCTTCAGTATTCCCATCTGTAAAATGGGGATAACAAACAGCACCTATCTCCTACGGCTGTTGAGAGAATGCAACGAGATGATGGATTCAAAAATTCCAGCCTCACAGTAGTGCTTAACAAATGTCACACACACACACACACCCCTTTGCCTCCCAACCTGCCTTCAAGACAGAACAGTTTCTTTGCACATGGGGTAGAGTTCCTACTTGGTGAAAGAATATATGGCCCACCCTTGGCCCCACTTTCCTGGGGGCAGGGGACTTCAGGAAGAAACTACCAGCTCAGAGACATATTTCATAATTATGAAAACACTCGTATCCACCACCCCCACTTGGGCAGTTCTCAGTTCCTGGAAGGCAGATCTCTCAGCCACTTCCTGGAATCAGAGAGGGAGGGCACAAAAGCATAAGGCCTGGACCCCAGTTCCTGGTGGGGGCTGGGGTGTCTCGGTGAGTCTGGGCCTGACTTTCTACAGGCCAGAGGCTGGGAGGACACCACAGAGAGGGCCGGGGTCATGTTCTTAGGGTAAACTCTTACCATCGGCTGCTGTTTCCCCTATACCCATTCCCACACTGCACTGTACACAGACACCCGGGTGCACCCTCACTCAGTACCTGTGTGATCTTCAGCAGGTGACTTCACTTTCTCTGAGCCTCAGTTTCCTCATCTATAAAATGGGCAATATCACTTCAAAGAATGGTCATGACGATCAAATGAGATGCCATATGGAAGTTCCCAGAGGCTGGCTTCTGGCAGGGGCTATACTCTTTGGGGCTGCAGATGGACAAGTAGAGGAGAGGGAGGCCTCAGACTGAGGGCAGGTATGGAAATGGCAACCTCCCTTCCTCCCCTGTGGGCAGTCAGGGAAGCCACAGGGCCTCTGTGAAAGCAGAGACCTCGTCTGTTACTCCCTTGTGTGTTAAGATGAGACATGGAGGACTGGGAAAGCCCAAATCTCCCTTCCTGGGTCTATCTAAAGTGACCAGCTTGTTCCTGATGTTCCTGGTGATAGTACTGAAAGTCCCTCAGTCCCAGGCAAACTTGGGTGGTGGTCACCCCAGCCTGATCCCTGCTATTGGTGAGTTTCAAGAGCAAGGAACTGACTGTGGACACAGCAGCCTGGAGCAGACCACAGCTGAGCAGACATCAGCCCATTTGACAGGAAGAAAACTCCAGGCTCCAAGAGATTCTGTGTCTCTACCGAGGCCGTGAAGGTAGAAAGGAGAGAGTTTATGCACTATGAATGGCAGGTAGCATAAAAATTCTTTAATATTTGCTAAAATAAATTTATTGCACTATGTGTAACAAAAATGATTTTGTGTGGATGGATTATTTCGTTATCTCATTACCTGGGTGACCTCATTCACCTTCACTCCTATGAAGCACTGACTGTCATGACTCCCATTATACAGATTAGGAAAGCAAGGTTTAGAGCAGTGGACTCACTTCCAGGCCCTACCTTCCACCTCTCCTCTCCCCAGAAGGCAGAATGGGAGTGGGGCCAGGACAGGGCTTTGAGAGGGGTAAAAAGCGGCCATATCCTGCTTGTCTTGACACTTGCCTAACAGACTGTCCATTACTTGTCTTTCACCCTAAATCCAGGTTGCTTCTGCCCTGAGCCCCACCCAGGGAGTGGGCTGCCAGGGGGTCCACACCCCAGCTCCAGAGACCATGCTATACAGCCACCCTGAGCTGCTCAGGAAAGATGCCCATGGGACTCCAAGAAGCTTGGGACCTCCCTTTCAGAATCTTGTGAGTCCAGGAGGCAAGATCTTAGAATCTCTTGGAATGTTAGAATCCAAAAGACTGAGCATCTCAGGTTTGGCTTAAGTAGTCGCCAAAAAGGGAAGGCTCCCAATCAATAAGTAGATCAAACTGAGGTGTCCCCACATTCCACAGCAGGGCTAAATCCTGGTACACAGGACAAGCTCTGCCTTGACTGGAGGAGTCACATCAAACCGGACCAATCCCAGCTCTGTTCCTTACAAGCCATGTGACCTTGGGCAAATCAACTCACCTCTCTGAGCTGTGGGTTTCTACCTGTGAGTCCAGGTAGAATGTTAAGCACACACTAGGGGCTCAATAAATGCCAGCTATTGTCATTCTGCATTTAGGGCAGGGGACTCCCTGATAACAACTGCCATGTCCTGGAAAAATCCCCAACCCTAGGACAGGCTTTGACACACCTCTGACCTTCTCAGTCAGAAGGACGTGGGGCAGGGAGCCCTAGAAACCTGTCTCCATTGTAAACCCTGGGTGCCATCCACAGCCTCAGCCTCCTCTGATGTGTAAATCACATGTTATAGGGTGCAGATGACATGCCAGGCACTGTTCTGAGAGCTTCACATGAATTATTAACTCACTTGGGCCCCACAATCCCATCAAAAGAAAGGGTACCATTATTAACCTCATGTGAAAGATGGGCTGTGGTTTGAATGTGTCTCCCCCAAAGCTCATGTTGGAACTTAATCCCCAGGATAGTATTTGAAATGGAGGGTGAAGGATTTTAAGAAGTGATTGGATCGTGAGGACTATACCCTCATGAATTGATTAGTCCATTCGTGGATTTATGGGTTAATGGGTTATCAGGGAGTAGACTGGGGGCTTTATACGGAGAGGAAGAGAGCACGTGGAGAAATGCTCATGCTCAGTTCTTGCTTTGTGATACTAAGTCGCCATGGGACTCTGCAGAGACGCCCCACCAAGGAGAAGGCCCTTGCCAGATGCGCCCCTCAACCTTGGACTTCCCAGTCCCCCAAACTGTAAGAAACAAATTCCACTTTATAAATCACCCAATTGCAGGTATTCTGTTATAAGCAACAGAAAACTGATGAGTGCAGATGAGGAAACTGAGGCCCACCTGGTGCCTAAAGTCACACAGCTAGAAAGACAAGGAGCAGGAACTTGAACCCAGGCAGTCTCCCTCCAGGGCCCACCTCAGTCACAGCCCCACGTCACCTGTGCACAGGCCATGTCCATTCTCAGGAGGCAGAACACATGCTGCCCCGCCTACAAGCTGTTGCCCCAGGCACAATTAGTGTCCCCCGTTGTTTAAACCTTTTCTAATATTTATTTACTTTCTAAAAATTCATTCCCATTGGCTCATAAACTCTAAGAGGACAGGAACCACAGCTGTCTTGCTGGTCATGCCACATGCCCAGGACTTAGCCAGCAGGTGGACACATGGCACGGTCTTCACGCACGTGCCTCTCATGACGCTTGCCCCATTGGACTGCAGGCGCTGTGGCTGTCTGTCCCTCTACCCCCACCACACAAGCTTCTGGAGGGCAGGGGCTCTATGGGTCCCCAGCACCGACAGGCCTGCCATCCCCAGAGGCTCACTAAACGCCTGCTGCAGGAGTGGACATGTGACTGAGGCGGGTGACTAGCACCAGCTGCACAGGATGTGCCAGCTTCAGACTCTTCACCTCAGATTTGTCAGTTGACACTTCCCAACCTTTTGTCATCATCTCCCCACATGCAGGAACCTCTTTAACTTTTTTTTTTCCTAATTACCATCCCCATGACATTTTAATACCATCAATATGCTGTCTGTCTGATGTTCTGTGGCCCTTTGCAGTACCACAAACTACAGTGTTAGCTGAGATTTTTGTTTGTGCCCCTCCAAGAATCCAGTTTCACCTGTTGGAACCTGAATTTACAGGACTGATGCAGAGGAGCTGAGGAACTTTGCACAAATGAATTCAATGAGACCCACACCTGATTTTAGTTTAACTGAGGGTTTTCTGAAGACTCTGGTGTAGACAGACGGATGAACACACACACACTCACACACCCAGCCATGCTATCTCCTTCCTGTCTACACTTGCCCCCCATCCCACCCTTCACAACCATCTTCCTGCTCAAGCTCAGTGAAGGGACCCGAGAGTCCCAGACCTGGCCTCACCCTGGGCTCCACAAGGGTCCTACGGCCTTAGAAGGGGCTGTGCCACGTCTGAGCTCAGCTACCTCCAGCCACGCTGCCATAGGCAGCTGCTTCTCCTCTCTGAGCCTCGGTTTTCTCATCTGTCAAATGGGGCACTGTCCACCTGCCAGGGTCCTTGGATGATTCCCCAGCCCCTCTGAAAGGTCTGCTGTGGGTCTGGCTGAGGTTTCCAGGAGGCGTCGGCCCAGCAGCCTGGCCCCTTCTGCTGTCTGGGTTTCAACTCCCCTGGATGTTGCAACCCCCAGAGAAAGCCATTCTGGGACCTGGGAGCCACCTCCTGATCCCCCTGCCCAGTGAGAGGCCTGGCTCGGGGGAGTTCAAAGTTAGAGACGGGAAAGGGAGGAAAACAGAGGCCAGGAAAGAGGAAGAGAGAACCGGGTGAGAGCCCTGATTTTCGTCTTTAGGGGTGTGTGTTGTTGGGGGGGAGCTGCTTTAGCCACCAGCCCCCACCGTTCTTCTTTAGTATCCCTAAAGTACCCCATATACAAATTAATAAGTATTCTAATTATTATTATTTTCTCTTTTGCTGACAATAGTATCCTAATTCTAATATTTTAATAATTTGCTACTGACAAGTGTCATTTTTTCAATCTTATAAAAAGTATGGAGAACGCATCTTTGAAAATGGTAGTTTTATGGATCCATAACGTGTGAGGCTTCAAGACAAATCCTGCACCCTCCTCCTTTCTGGAATCTTTCAGAACTAATCTCAGCTCTGCTCCTAAGCAAATCCCTTCACCTCTCTGGGCCTCAGTTTCCCATTAGTGAAAGGAAAGGGTAGGATAATTTCTAGGGCAACGCCCATGACTTCTCTATTTTTTGAATTCAGAATGCCCCAAGACAGCTGCTGCAGGCTAACCTGACAGGGAGGTCAGGTTAGAAGTTAACAGGAGCATGATCTGGAAGAGACACCAGAATAAGACCACAGACTCCAGGATGACTCTGGTCTGGAGCTGTGGAAACTTGGTTGGCCCTCCCCAGAGGCTACAGCCCAGGAAGGGACAGAGGTCCTGCCCCTGGCCTGGTAGCAGCTGTAAGGTAAGCTGGCTGGTCCCTTGGGCCCCCAGCCACTCCCTGTGGTTTTGCAAGTCAGTACTTACCGTGTTCAGCAAAGCATGGGACAGCCGTCTTGTGGCCCAGAGTGGCTTCCCTGCTTTAGCGAAAAGGCTCCAACCCACGGTGCCGGGCACTGCTGTGGCACCCCCTGCAGAAGTCCCAGGTCCCACCAACCCCTAACAGCCGTGTGGAAGAAGAAAGCGAGGGGGGGGGGGGGGGGGGTGGAAAAGCACAAAAGACAGACCTTCACGGGGTTTGCAAATATGATGTACTTCTTTCAAGATTCAAACATTATCTCTTTGTACAGCAGGTCCTTTCAACTGCAATCAAGAACCTCTATGGAGAGCTAGATTACAGATGCCATAAGGGCACGACCTACTTATCTCTTTTCTCCATCCTAATTTGTTCTTTTGGCCAACTCTGGTACTCCAGGCTGGATGCTCTGGGATCCAAAGGCGAGCAATTCTGGGTTCTTGCCCTTTCATCTAATGGGGAGCCTGGCAAGTAAACAAGTCGACAGACTGTTATGACAAGACACAGCGTGTCACTCTGGGGTGAGCAAGGGAGGGGACCTAACTTACCCCGATGGGGAAGGGGATTGTCAGGAGAATCTTCCAAAGAGAAGTGGCACTTAAGATGACAAGTAGGGATGAGCTGGGTGCAGCCCAGGCAGAAGGCACAGCATGGGCAAAGGCTGCAAGGCCACCAGGTCACAGGACACTTCGGGAAGTGAAGGAATGGGTCTCTCTCAGTCTGCCCTGTGGCTTTGCACAAAGTGGGGGCTCAGGACACACACACAGAGAAGTTCATACCTGCCTTGCACACAGATTGTCTAAAAATGAAATCCAAAGACCCAGCAGCCATTCACCAGCCATTCCTAAGTCAAGCAACTTAGGAAGCTACAGCTGGAAGGTGCCAAAAACCCACCCTGCCTGGCAGGGGAACCAAGGCCCAAGGGTGGAAGTGAGATCCTTAGAACCCAGGCTTCCCCCTCTTCCCCAGCAGGTTTGGAAATAGCCAGCCTATTTCAAGGGCAGGGGGCTGAAAAACTCTGAGCAGACCCAAGTTGGGGCAGAGGCGACGCTCCAATTAGCAGAGGTAAGGGGTTGCAGCTGCCTGCCAAATCCAGCCTGCTGCCTGGTTCTGTGCAGCTGGCAAGCTAAGGCTGGTTTTTACATTTTTTAATGGTTGAAACATGTTTTGTGACATATGGAAATTACATGAAATGCAAGGTTCAGTTTTCATGAATAAAGTTTTATTGGAACACGGCCACCTTCATTGGTCTATACACGTCGTGTGTGGCTGTTTTCACACTGCAGTGACAGAGTGGAGTAGTTGCTTCACCTGCAAGGCCTCATAACACAAACTGGTAATGTTTCCTGAGCCTCTACTCCATGCCAGACCCTGAGCTAAGTGCTTTGCATTTATCAGTTCATATAATCCTCAGAGTAGTCTTTAGAAATGAAGAAACTGAGGCTCAGGGTCACACAGAATAAGGGGCAGAGCCAGGACAAGTCCAGGCAGACAGAACAAAGCTCTTGATCTTAACCCCTAATCTGTGATTGCACAGGCTGCACGGTGAGTGCTGGTGACTGCTCTTTGCACACCAGCAAGCACTTTATATAAGGGAAAAGGCATAACTTAGCTGCAGGTAAACTATCTCAAGGTAAGGCGTGAATGTTAAGTGTCCTTTTTAGAGGAACAAAGATTGCTAGGAGGGTTCCAGTTCATGTTGTCTGTTGTGAAGACCATAAAACCACATCTCACTGCACCTGACAGCTGTGAGATTCAAGGATTCGAAGTGAGCAGGTTTCTGCTTCTAGGAATTGAGCCCAGAAAAATACTCCAAGATGTCTTCAAAGATTGAAGCAATGATATTTATCACAAGAGAAATATTTGGAAAAAATATAAAAGCCCCATACTATAGGAAAGGGTTCCACCATGGAACTCACAGAGTTTGAACAAATCAAATAAAAAGGCCTCAAAATAGATTTAAGAACAGAGATGCTCTAAAGAAAGGCCCAGACCTGGAAGGGAGGACGGAGAATCACACCCCACTGCCTGCCCTCCCCCACCAACCTCTTTGATTCTAGGGGGGCTCACAGGCTACTGTTTGCCAATTTGAATCATCTAAAGGGGAAATGGCCACTTGAGGCCCACTGCAGCCAGGATTCAATTCTCCTTCTCAAATAGGAACAGAACTTAGGGAGCTAAGGAGCTGGTTTTTGGGTTGGTGACTGCAGCATGAAGCCATTCCTCTGGAGTAAAAGAGAACTGGGGCTCCCCAGAGCTCACTGGGTCAGCTTAGGTACTGGAGGGTGACCAGCACAGGGACTGGAGCCAGACTTGGAAGGCCAGAGGGCAAACAAACATAGAAACGTGCTCCAGACTCAGTGATTTTCCACAGAGGGTAGCAGCTGAAGGAATCCACGCCTCTCACAGCCATCCTCAAGCACCCAGCCTGTGCCTGGAGGTACAGACCTGAACTTCAGATCTCAGATCTTAAGGGGCTCACAGGTCTGAAGACAGACATTAGATGATACATAATGACGGAATCTTGGTTGCAGACAAACTCAACCGAGTTTAAGTGGCAACAGGGGTCCTGGGGTATCTCATGGAACTTAAGGTCAGAAATGCAGCTGGACCCCAGGCATGGGCTTAGGGAGCTAATGGGACCTAGAAGCCCTATCTCCATCACTGTCCACCTGTTCTGTCCACATACTCTCTCTCCACCAACTTCCAGGCCCCTGTAAAGGATCTGATGACATTGGAGGTTGCTCCAAGGGGCTCACTGGCCCAGTCTGGGCTTGACTGTGGTCAGGGAGGGTCATATTCTGGAAGCAAAGTACTGCTGAGCAGATGATCCAACAGGTGCCCCCATCCCAGATAATGCCTATATCTTCAATCGTTCAGTCATTCAACAAATATTTATTGACACATTGTGTCAGATCCTGGTGAAGGATACAAGTTTCTGTCCTCACGAGCCATTAGATCTGGTGGTAATAAGGTGTTATGGGGAAAATAACGTCAGAAGAGGGGGTCAGGTGAATGCTGAGAAGGGCAGACATTGGAGGGAGGGGAAGGAAGCCCAGTCCAGAGCTAGGAGGACTCCTGAACACACGTGAGCATCAGGAGAGGTCAGGGAGGCTCCAGGGCAGGTCACACAGGGCCGCCTTGGCCAATTTTGAGGATCTAAGTTTTCATTCTGAGTGTATGGGAAGCCATGGAGGTTTTTGAGCCTGGATGTGGGAGTCAGCAAGCCTTTTCTTAAAGCTACATGATAAATATTTCAGGCTTTGTGGCCATATGGTCTCTGTTGCAACCACTCAACTCTTTGAGTAGAGAGCTTGTGCAGTATGTCCCAGTAAACTTTATTTATGGACACTGAAATTTGAATTTCATATCATATAATTTTTACTTGGCAATAAATATTCTTTTGAGTTTTTTCCAACCATTCTTAGCTTGTGGGCTATACAGAAACTTGCAGCAGGTTGGATTTGGACTGTGGGACTTAGTTTGTCTTTCCCTGCCTTAATGCCTTAAAACGTCACTCTGGCTGCTGCTTTGAGAACAGACTAAAGTGGAGGAAGGAAGCTCAGTTAAGCAGGGAAGGCTCAGAAAGCAGGGATGGTTGTCTGTCAAATTGACTGGGCATTGGGGTGCCTAAATAGTTGGTCACACATTATCCTGAGTGCACTTGTGAGAATGAAATTAACATCTGAATCCATGGACTGAGTAAAGTAGATTGCTCTCCCTAATGTGGGTGGGCCTCATCCAAGCAGTCGAAGGCCTGAATAGAATGAAAAATCTAAGAAACTCCTCCTGCCCAACCCTGACTGCCTCCAAGCTGGGACATATGTTTTTCTGCCTTCAAATTTGAATTGAAAACTCACCTCCTCTGGGTGTCTCTGGTTTGCTGACTGAAAATCTTAGGACATTTCAGCCTCCATAATCATGTGAGCCAGTAGGTCCTGTTTCTCTGGAAAATTGTAATGCAGCTCTGTCCGATCAGAAATGACGAGAGCACAGTGGAGGTGTGAGAAGTAGCTGGACTAGAGTTGTATTTTAAAGCCAGAGCCCACATGAGCTGCTGACAGGCTGGTGTGGGATATGAGAGAGGAGACAGGAGTCAAGGTGGGCTGGGAGGCAGGGGCAAAGTCAAGAAGGCTCTCCCAGAGGTTGAAGAGCATGGACCACATCCTGCAGATAAGGACCACTGTGTCTTCTTCAGAGACCTTGACAGGTTTTGTTTTAGAAAATATCACTTGGAAGCAAAAAAGGGAATGAGTGGCTGGAGGTAGATAAACCTCCAGGCATTGATCGGACCTCACCACAAAGGGAGGCAGCAGGCGGCCAATGTCCATACGGGAACCTCCACCTTGCTATCATATGTGTTATTTTGAACCACTGCCTCTGGAACAAACTAGCTGGGGTAACAAGAACTTGTTTGTTATTTTAGGAACTGTAGCTGAGGATGGCAATAAGCATCCCAGGAGTTTGTGAACCATGGAGGAATTTATCTACCTTCTACAATGCAAATACCGTCTTAGCATGGAAATGAACCCAGAACAACTTCCTGTTATTTGTGGGGCAACTTCCCAGTTCTCACACCTCATCACTATAACCCAAAAGCTTGGGCTTTGTTGCTGAAATCCTGATGGTCGATTCTCAGTTCTCAGGGCACTGAGCTTTAGCCTGAACAACTTCCATAGCCGGACTACTTGGTCATTTGCTCCACTACAATTTTCTCCAAGACATTTACAGTCCCACTGTAAAAATAAACATTCGCCTAGTGACTGCCAAGATGAATGAAACTGACTAGTTGGGGGGGGCAGGTTATGAGATTAGGAAATGAGTAACAAGAAGGCACAGGGCTATAATGAAGAGCATTGCTGCTAGGCACCTGGTGCAGGTGAGGCTGGACAAATTTGGCAACCAACCCCCTCAGCTTCTGCAGCATCTCAGGGTCCCCATGCGTGATTGCTTATACTACAATCTATTTGCGTCACCTGGACCACCTGGCTGTGAAGGTAGGGAAGGAGCTTTATATTTGAAGCGGTAGTGTGAGCGTGTGTGTGCTCCTTGTTCTTCCCTTTGAAACACTGACTACTCGTCTCTTGCAGCCCAAATCTTTTTACACCCGCAACTGCCTGCTGGGTCTTACTCTCTGAGTCATTTCGCCCCAGTGCTGCTCCATACCCGCCATCAAGTCCTTTCACTTTCACTTACTCTTTGAGATCAGTGTGAGGAACCTGCCATTTATAAAACAGAACTAAGCACCTAGTTGTCACTGCCCAAGCTCAAGGGTGCATGGATTTCTTTTGGTAACATAAGAGACCTGTCTACTTTCTTTCCTGCTGCCTGCCTACCCTGAGTTGACTATTGAAGCAGAATAACTTGGTCATTTTTGTCTTCTGACCCCAGGCTCCCCCGGCAATGGGATTGGCACTGCTTTCTAAGGTGTCTTACCATGAATTCTGTATTCCTCATCCAAACATTCCCCTCTCCGATTTTCCAAACTCAGGCTCCTAAAATCAGTTTTCTTACCCAGTTTCATTTCCACATAATAAAGCACAACTATACTGAATGTGAGGATCCCATCAACTTCTCTAAACTCGTCTTCCTCATTTCAGCCCATCCAACCAACTTCGCAGCTATCTCCTCCCGAGTACCTTCTTGCATCTGGAGCATTTCTCTCTCCCCACCTCTCCACCCCACCGTCCAAACACTTGTAGTGGGGGAACTTCACACACAGCCCACCATCACTAGTGTCTCCTAGCAAGTGCTTTCCACTTCCAAGTCTGTGGTGAACTGTTTGCTGTGGACTAAGTCCCTGCTAGCCAGGACGAGGAATGCTTCTATCTGCACATCAGACTGCACATCACACTTAAAATTTTACACGTACGATCAAGGAGATATCATCCCCATTTCAAACAGGGGAGGCATGTGGGACTGAGATTAAGCATATCAAAATACATTTACTCCCTATCATATTGGTTGAAAATATATTTCTCAGTTTCTATGGCCTTCATTTTTTTGCCATATTAAATTCATGTAATTTAATTTTATGTAGCCAATCTATCTTTTTCTTGTGCTTTATTCTATTGTTTTTGGATTTAAATCCCCCCCCCCGCCCCAAGTTTGAAGTCTAAACCAGGTCTGCTGGGATCTGGAACATTGCACTCAAATCTCCAAGCAACGCCTGCTCTCCCTCTTTGCTCAGACTGAGCCGCCCACCCACCCTTGCCCTGTACTTACCCTCACAGAGGAAAAAGTCACCTGGCTGTTTTCCACCAAGTCAGAAAAGCTGTGTCAGCCAGAGAGGTCTGGGCTGCCTTGGAGACAGCTGAGGTGTGAAAGAAACACAGACACCGTTTTGTAATCAATGATTTTTATCTTTGAAAATGGAAGCAAGTGTTTTGACAGAATACTATGGCCGCTCTATAAGAGCCGATCTAGGAGTAATTCATTCTCCTCCTCCAGGATATCACGGCTTAAAAAAAAAAACAGGAAAAATAATCCACAATGCTTTGGGCACCTACTCTGAGCCTGGCTGGGCATCCATTCATTAAATAAGTCATAAGCTACAAACTAAGATCCTGATAACTTTCCCTTGCCCTCCCCTCTTTGAATCACATTTCCTACGCTGTTTCACCACCATCAGCAACAATTTTGTTTACTTAATTAATATGATATCAGAACCTTAAAATATTTCTGAATCTTGAAATGAAGGTCTTCGGCAGATTATGTTGATAAAAACACAGGTACAGGTTTGAATATAAGTCATCATAATTATTGTTTTCTTTACATCTCATCTCATTATCCAATATTAAAAACATACACATATACACACACACAAAGCCACATCAAACATCCGGATGCCCTGAAATTGTGGAGACAGCGATCCCAATATCAGTTGGTTAAGCACACGGTACCTTTTCTACGTTCTAACCTGCTGTCACCACACTCTGCCTCCATCCTGGCTCCCTGTACACAGACACACTTCCAGCCAGTCCCATGCCCACACCAGCATGAGCATGTGCAGGAGTTCCCTTCCTGGTCCCAATGGCACTATACATTTCACATTCAATCACAGACACTCAGCCCTTCCAAAACTGAGGCTCTTTAATCTTGTTCCTCAAGCATGAAATATGAGAAATTGGAAATGGGGCAAAGTTCCAGCCAACCTAAAAATGAACAGAGCTCAGTCTCTAGCCCACCGCTGAGTCCAGGGAGCCTCTGTCCTTTGACACAGCCTCAGTGCAAGCTAGAGGCAGAACAGGTTAGTCTGTGCGGAGGGCACAAAGGGACGTGTTTGAGCACATTCTAGCTACAGCAGAGGTCTGTGCTCCTGTTTTTGCTCTATTCTAGATTCATTCTCCTTAGTCTCAGTATCTAATAGCATTCTCTGGCCTTATCTTAGCTGAATGTGATTAGGGCTGAAAGGCAGGAAGGAGAGAAGGAAAGGCTGGGGGAGCCCTGAGAGAGGTCGCAGCACACGTGAGGAAGAGGCAGGGCAGGCTCTATTGGTAGAAGGAGCCACTTCTTCCTCCAGCACAGCACGGGCACCATACAGGTCAGGCGGGAAAACAGAGGATCACCCGGGGAAACTGCTCCCCTCCAAGTTCCCTTGTTTTTAGTCCCCAACGCTGTCCTCAAGAGCTAGGCAAGCTGCTGCAGTGGGCAAGAAGGTACACTCAACAATATATGTGTGTCTTCTTGTCCTGGGCACCCTTGTCAAGTATTGACCGAAACCTGAAACATGATGTTTAAAGTGATGAACGCAACAGATCCTATGTGTGTAACAAAACTGCAGAAACACATGCTAGTTTGGGTTAGATTATAATCATCTGAAGCACAGGCTAACCAAGAAGCAAAATTCTATTCTGGTACAACCACCCAATTTCTAGAAAAGAGAAAGGAAAGTAAGGAAGAGATACGATGTGAGCTTTTTGGATCAGAAGACTCAATGAAATAAGAGGGGTAGTAATATGAATCCACATGATTTTTCAAGTTTTCCTTTTGAACAGTCATTAAGATGATCAGGTTTGTGCTGCAAATGAGCCAGCACCATGTGGCTACTGCTCGGATTGTTCTCAGATGAACATTTATACAAAATAATATCTCTTATCTTCATTTAGTTTATAAACATACACAGTGCTGTCCCTTTCAAATTAAGGAAAAAAAAAACAAACCCGCACACAAATACTGCAAAGTAGCAAAATATAAAGTATCTTCATTTAGTTTATAAACATACACAGTGCTGTCCCTTTCAAATTAAGGAAAAAAAAAAAAAACCCGCACACAAATACTGCAAAGTAGCAAAATATAAAGAAAAAAAAAAGTTACTTTTGGTTTTGGCAACATTAAAAAAGAAAGAAATATAAAAAGCAATGTGGCATTGGTCCCTACTCATAAAAAAAAAGGTACTTGGGCATGACGCTGAATCAGAGTTGGTTTGTTTTCCAAAATTCAGAGTATCTGGGATTTTAAAAGTAGCACTTTTGTCTTTTAAAAGTTCAACAAGTCACATAACACTTAAAACATCAAAAAAGCTTTCTGATAAAAAGCTCAGCTTTTAAATCAAGTTTTGTTTCTGTAAATTTGGGAGACGAATTGAGTTCTTACTGGAATGTGGCCTATCGCTGGTTGACAAATCTGAAATGGAATGTCTCCAAATGGCAGTGCCTCCCGTTCCGCCCTCCCGAGGACCACACCAACAACCAGCTACCAAGCACAAGTTCTTGCTCCCATTTCTTGGAGGGGTGGGGGTGGGGCCTTCAGGCTGCTATCTTCGCCATCTGCTGTTCTAACTTGGAAATACGCTCATCTTGATTGCAGATTGTGTCTTTTATAGATTTGATCTCTTTTAAAATCTCATCCAACTTGGCTTCATTTTGCTAAGGAAACAAACAAAAAAGGGGGCGGTGACTAAAAAGCAGTAAAAAAAAGTTCAACACAGTTCAGAATTTATAAGACATAAAAAGTAATTTTCCAATTTTGCAAATGGAAAGCCATAGTTACCATGTTAAAAAGAGAAGTCAAAACCTACTGCATCTGGGCCTTATGAGCACACAGTTAATGCCGGACAATCCACTGAAACACCACAGCAAAACAAGCAGTGCCTCACAGTGCTACGTGTGGTGCCCATGCCTGGGCACTTAACCAGACAGACTCTCTCGGGTCACAATTAAATTGCAGGACAAGACGAATTCCTTCAAGGCTGCCCTACATCCCAACCACCCCAATCACTCCATCAAGAGTGACTTCTATTTGACCAGGGTGAGGGGGTGACTCCTTCCAAAGGCTACAGAGACCCTACCATCCCCTAGGAAGCATCCTTCTGGGGAGTGAAATCCCTTGCCCTGTATGCCTGCTCCTCTTCCCCTCCCGGTCGCCCTGCTCTCCAGCAGCAGCAGCACAGCGCCCTCTAGTACCCACAGTGGGTCTTCAAAAGCAGGCTCAGTTCCCACCATTCCACTGAGATGAGTCTGGCCGAGATCACATCTGTTGCTAGCCCCATACGCTGCCAGATCCTTCTGCGACTTGACCTCTCAGCAATATCTCAACACTCTCACCACTTCCTCCTTCAGCGAATGTTCTCCTCCTGGCGCTTATGACCCTATACTCTCATGATGTTTCATTTCTCCCCAAATCAGAGATGGGGAGAAATAGTTTGGCAAAAGACAGGAAAACACCTAAGAGGCTCCTGTTACTCTCAGAGGTGGTAGAAGATTAACATCTACCCCAGTTATAAAAAACAACTAAAGGAGCCAAGCATGACCACAGAGGCATCACTGTCACGTGCCCTAGGACTTTCCTACACATAGGAACACCTAAGAGGCTCCTGTTACTCTCAGAGGTGGTAGAAGATTAACATCTACCCCAGTTATGAAAAACAACTAAAGGAGCCAAGCATGACCACAGAGGCATCACTGTCACGTGCCCTAGGACTTTCCTACACATAGCTCATGTTATCATTTACTGAAAACCCCCATGTGTCCACAGCTGGGACAGTGCTCACCAGTGCTCGGGACTAGAAAGAGCTTTCCAGAGGACAAGGCCAAGCTGGCAAACACATCCCTCAAATTCTTGCAGTCCTTACCACACTAGCTGTGTCTGTGATTTTCTTGGAGACATTGATCAGGTCGCACTTCTTGTTTGCAGTGGGCTTGTTATCCAGAATGTTCTTCTTGACCACCTTGAGATCCCTGTTTTTGCCTGGAATGTACCCATGCTTCAAGGAGATGAGGATGGGATCTGCATTCTTCCCCTCAAACCACTCTTCTGCCTCCAGTGCAGCTTCTGGCCCCGCTGTGTCAGGATACAGGTCATCTTGGAAAAGGTCAGACTAAAGAGACATTTGGGGGAAACCCTTAGCTAAGGAAGAAGAAAGGCCTGGAATTTTTTTATTTATTCATTTTTTAAACATGGACTGTCCGGAAAACTGGGCACTCACCTTCCTGGGTACAGTCATGATAATAGGCTCACACTTTCTCTCGTGAAGTTTGAAGAACCTTCAAAGGGGAAATAAAGACAAAGCTGCATTGAGTGAAATAGGAGGCTGAGTAACAGGATTAGTAACTAGTTTTCTACTATGCCACATGGAATATGAAGTGCTGCCTACTCCATCACCTCGTCTGATCCACGGTGGGAGTTGGTAGAACTTAGTGTTCTCGTTTTACAGATGAGAACACGGAAGCTGAGAGTAAGTAACATGCTAGGAAACAGCAGATTAGAGACAAGAACCATGAGTAGAGATCTGTACATTATAAAGATGGTCAAATTTCACTTATCTAGGGGCAGATCGACTGTGGTGGAAATAACAGCAACATTGAAAATGATTCATTTTCAAGCAGAGAAAACACATCCACACATTAAATAGTATCTACGACCTGAGTCTTCTTCCAGCTTGAGGTGGTTGAACATTTTCGAGTATAAATATGATTTTTAAAAAGGAAAAGAAAAGAATTCTAGAAATTAAGATTTTGACATCTAAGCCAAGTCACATCATATACAACACTCAAGAAAAATCTGAATTTATCCAGAACATGGAAAGAGTGGGAATTTAATGCAACCTGCATTGTAATATGGAAGAGGGCGACAAATAGCTTCTGACTGGGAAAAGAAAAGGACAACAGGATGAAACAACAAAACCAGAAACTACTTCTCTTGTGATGACCCTGATAAGGGCAAGCCAATTTTTTCTCAGCCATGATGGGGAATAATCACAAGTTCTCTCAAGTTCTTGGCAAGAGAGGCAGCCGTAGCGAGCATCCTGGCCAGCCTGCCAGACTACATGCAGGGGAGAACCCAGCAGAGGCTCAAGTGTGCCTGGGAAGCTGCTCCAAGTGAGACAAGTGCTGAAGGCAGCTCTGATGGGTAAAGGTGTCTGATCCATCTATCAAGTTTAGCACAGTGCCTGACACATAATCAACGTTCAACAAACATTTAATAAAGAGATGTCCTAAATAATTGTGCTTGCTTACAGTCTTTTAAACTTTTAGATGACAGTAAAATAAACAGGTTCCCAAATACTCGATGGAATCTGAAGTTCAGATTCAATCTATTTTGAACTACATTTTGATTAGTTTGGTTTAAACCACAATTTTAAATTATCTCTGACAGCTTTCCTTCATTACTCCAGCTATTAAAACAAAAACCATGATTCATATAAAAGGGTTTATAACAATTCCTTTACTTTTACTTTTAAAGATGTAAGTGCCAATTCTTTAATCACATGATCAGAACAGCAAACTTTTAAAAAGTCTGTATCAACACAGTGTTGTGCAAATGTGTGGTGTGATCTTATATCTGACAACGTAGTACTATTCTGTTGTTTAAAATGGCCAGAGGTCACTGAGTCTCCTTGAGTATCTTTTGTTATTAGTATAAGAAAAAAACCTGTCCTTAGGAAGCCCACTAGCATTACAGAACATAAATTTTAAAAATCAAGAGTAGTACAGAGAGGCAGAAATTATTGCAGCACAGCTGAGCTTCCTAAATCAAGCTAAATCTACACCTCAATGAGGATCTTTGGCTTCTCTAGTTTAGGATCAGCTGAGTCCACAATCCAGTTTGGAACCTGGTCCTTCCCTTCAAAGAACAGGAAAACCACCCCTTTTTCCATCTCAGGGCCAGGCTCTCCCCTGCTTGCCTCTAAAGGAACACTGGCCACTGCCTCAGCTTGAAGACAAGAGACGAAGGTGTCACTATTTCAGTAAGTGTGCAATAGACCTCAGCTATGCCACTTAACTGCTACACATCCAGATGTATGGGCAGGAAATGAAATATTAATTCCACACCACACACAAGGGTAAAAAGACTCAGGCATTACAGAATTACTTCTAACTGTAGTGCTCTTATACTGCATGGACGGTATAAACAAATTGGAATATTTTATAATATCGATTCTTTACCTGGCAATCTCACATTTGTTAACATCAAGTCCTCTCTTGGGCATGTAACCCATCCCTCTCTGAGGCTCCTTGCTGCTGAACGTGTTGAGGTAGTGGACATACGGGGATTCATCCGTGATCTCAAAATAGCGGATACTGCTGTCACCCTGCAAGAAATCAGAGACAAGTTTATGTTTAATGTTAACTGAAACAAACATCTGGTTTAAGTGTCTCTTTCCTCTATTAAGCTAGCATTAATTAGGACCCCACTTCAGCAGCTGACCTCTCTTCCTCTTGCCTAGAGTATATGATGGTTTCTTTTCTTCACAAAGTAAGCCCTCCTTTACCAAATGCTACCAGGCCCTTTAAAAGGTCTCCTCTGCCTCCTACTGAGGACTCTAATTTTACTCCCTGAGCCTTGACACCAGGTCAGAGTTAGGGCAAAAATGTCACTGCCTCTGCCAAACAACTGCATTGTAACTCAACTTCAAAAACAAATACCAGGAGGATTGCTGAAACTGTGATTACTAATTTCAGTATTCATTCACTGGCATAGCACAGCATCATTCACAGACCCGGGGGCACTGACATTAGGCATTTAGATGATGATAAAAAGTGAGGTTTTTCTAATTAGGAAACTCAGTTTAAGCGAGTATCCTTGAACTTCAGAAAGTACTGCCCTCTCAATGCAATGTGTAAAATTCTATGATTATCTTGCTTAGAATGGTCAGATTTTTCTTTTATCTGAAGCATATGCTAATCTAAGTATGATTAACAGTCACACAGTCACACCAACCTGAACAATGAAGGCAATCTTGTCTGGTAGAGAGGAGATATATATACGTAAGAAAGAAGAAGGCATAAATAGCTAGGCGGTATTAGGCCCTAATGATGCTCTCAGTTCTCACGATTTCCATTTGTCTCAGTGATTTAAGTATCTAAAGCAATGGAAAAGAAGCTAAACACATACTAGTCATTTTCTGCACACCCAAAATAATTTTTCACCTAGTGTTAATAGTATCTGGGTAATTATTCATTTTGTTTGTTTTGATGCAAATTATGGCAACAATGGTAAGGCACATGTACTTAATAGCTTTATATCTGCAGTAAAATGACTTTCAAGGAAACAGACAAGATCTCAGTTTCTAAGTAACTGACCTATAAAAATGTAAAGATCTGCTGCATGCTCAATCAACTATGAAAAGTAAAACATCACCAACTTTACCCAGCAAGGGACTATCTACCAGGAATGACTTTCAAGGAAACAGACAAGATCTCAGTTTCTAAGTAACTGACCTATAAAAATGTAAAGCAGATCTGCTGCATGCTCAATCAACTATGAAAAGTAAAACATCACCAACTTTACCCAGCAAGGGACTATCTACCAGGTTTGGGGAACACATAAATTCATTTATTTCAATCATAAAAAATTGTAAGGAAAATTGAACCTACAAAAGAATCAGGAATGTTACCACTTACGAAAGTGAAATAATAATAATAATAATAAAGCTACCAATAGTTTAGTAAGGCTGAGATCATATGTCAGGAGGACGGTTTTGGGAGTTCAGTGTACCCGGCTGGAATTTTAGTCAGGCCACATTTCTTCAAGCCCAGAGCCCTAACACTAAGCCCCAGGAACAAGTACCCTCTGGAGAGTCTCTGAGGCTACTCAAAAGCTCATATCTACAAAGCATTATTCTCTTTACAAGTCCATGGCATGTGGTACTTGCTAAACACATACGAGGGTACTTCAAAAAGTTCATGGAATAATGGAATTAAAATATGAATTTTTCCATGAACTTCTTGAAGCCCCCTCATACATGCTAATCTAGGGTTATCCAACAGATTTCAACATTAGATGTGGCAAACTGGTTACCTATCCCTGATACCAATACAGATAAACCTAACATCACCAATCAAGAAGCACCAGTAGGTGAAAACAAAATACCAGCACGTTCCCTTTTTCTCTCTAGAGAGCCCGGAGAGAAGATCTCCTTGTCAGCATTTGCCTCAACACCCCAGCCAATCCCTGCTTCAGTCAAAAGTACTAAACATGGCGTGTTATTACCGCACAAGTGGCAAGTTACAATGGTCCAGTCTCGACACCTAAAACATACTAAAATTATTCGTCCTTAGCTTGAGACACACACAAATTAGAAAAATTAAAATGACACAATATATTGCCTATCTTCTAAATCTCTGAAGGATAAACTTTTTTTCTTAAAGGGTCATATTTAGGATGAAACATCAAAATTACTGTTTACCTTTCCACATAAGTAAATGATACTGGTGTCGGGGTCATAGAAGGGCAGCAGCACCCCATTGCTGGTATCCATTTCATGAAGAGCAATCGGTTCCTGCATGTTTTTCTGAAGAAAAAAATTATACATATATACACACACACACACACACACACACACACACACACACACACACATTTTTAAAGTACAACATTGCATTCTAACCAACTGAGCTAACTGGCCAGGCCCTTTAGCATACATTCTTGTACCACTACTTAAGTCAGCATTTGCCTAGAATAATGAAAGTTTAAACAATGCACATGTAATATTCATACATGTAAATACCAATAGGGATACTAAATGGGATCTAACCCACTCACAATTGTGTTGATTTGACACCATAAATTAATACAAACACAACTGTATTCCATACAAAGATGAGAGCCCTTCTCCTTCATGACTATTTTCTTCTTTTAAAGTACTTTTTTCTTATTATAAGACAAATATATGCACTTTTAAAAAAGATATGAACAAGAACATACCAATCATCCCATATTCCATAATCCCACAGTCCAGGGGGTGGGAGAAATTTTACCATTTTGGTCTATTTCCTTCCAACACACATACACACACAAATTGGGATCAGACTATTTAGTTTAGTATTTTTTCCCACTTATGCTAACTACAAACATTTTCCCAAGCACGACTATGTTGATTTAGACATTTGATCATATTCTTTATAAAATATAACCAAATTTAGAATTTATTTTCAAAATCTAAAACACTGGATTCTTCATACATTCCTTTTAAAAAATATAGTCAACATAGACTTCTCAGGTGTATCAAAAACACATTTTTGAAATACATTTACCAGTACGTCTCCAGTGAGGGTGAAAATTTCACATCCAATTTCAGATAAGCAGAAGCTCAGAAAACCAAATCAAGAATCCTATAATCCACTTACCAACCCGAAGCCCCACTCAACAGAGAAAGCTCAAGAGAAAGCAAGCGGCAAGGCTGGGAAGGGGCATACCGGGTTCCAGAGGGCCAGCTGCCGCTCGCTCATGCGGCTGAACCCAGTGGTGAAGACATTGCCATCGGCCAGGAAGATGGCTCTCATGGGTCTTGCTCCTTCATGTGCTTTCTCCTTCTCCTGGAAGAGAGCACAAAAAGGCACATTGCATGCATTCAAACTGCAAGAAGGAGAAGTGAGTGTGGAAACTTATACGTTAAAACCTCACCCCTCACCCCGACCTCACCCCACAAGCCATTCATGTTCACCTGGCGGGGGGGTGGGGTGGGGGTGGGGGTCAGTGTTCACAACCATCCTCCCCTCCTTAGATGAAGAAACAAAGAGACACGAGTTATCTGGTCATGGTCCCTCAGCTAGTTAGCAAGCAAGAGCACCAGAATTGGATTTAAAAGCCTCCCTCCTTCCACCATATCCTGCTGCCAACCCATGTCCACGCACTGTAGAAATAAAACATACGAAAAGACTCTGCCAGATGTTTATTTCTCAAGAGCATAATAACTTGAAGGTTGGATATAGCCCACAATTTCTATACCAGAATTGGATTTAAAAGCCTCCCTCCTTCCACCATATCCTGCTGCCAACCCATGTCCACACACTGTAGAAATAAAACATACGAAAAGACTCTGCCAGATGTTTGTTTCTCAAGAGCATAATAACTTGAAGGTTGGATATAGCCCACAATTTCTATCAATATCATAGGACAGAAAAAGTCTAATCTAGTTAACCTCTCCTTTAACCTCATCTGTTTAACGACAGTACACTATATCAACCCTTGGAAAATTCTAGGTGTTGAAAGCACTTTGCATGCAGCAGGTAAGTCTGAGGTGCTCAATAAGCACTAGCCACGATTGTCACCAATCCTAGAGAAGAAGTACTGACAAGAACAGCCACCTCTTAGGAAGGGCCTCAGAGCGCAGCTGATGTTAGGCGTTCTGAGACTCACACTTGCAGTTTCAACCCTGACTAGTTCCAATGTCCATCTTTTGTCAGGATAAGTGATTTTGTTGAGGTCCAGTTTGGGAGGCAGAAACTAAGACACTGAGCTGATGAGAGAATCTGCCGCATCTCTCTCTGTAAAGCATTTTCACTATCGTTTTGAGAAGAGGGTGGGGAATGCATTAATCAGTATTGAGTTTAAGCCGTGAGACCAGGAATGCAGCTAACTGGTTTAGCTGATCCAGACTTGTAAACTCTTAAGGACTCTAGTGAACTGTTAAAATTCTTTGTAAAAAATGTCTACCAATTGAGAGAGAAAACTTGAAGAAAAGCTGGAAACATTCGACTCTGAGGAAGCATGACTGGGGACACAGCTCCAGCCTATACAAGCATTTTCTTATTCACAGTCAGCATCAGGACACAGCCTTGGCCCACTGACCAGCACCACTGTCTGCCCTAAAAAGCAGAAAGTTCGCCCTCACTGAAGTGTTACAACTTGAGATTCTGTCCTAAGAATACTCACAGCAACAATCTCTTGTTTCCTAGGATCGATGACTCTCACTTTCTTGTCTTTGGAAGCTGTGCAGATCAGGCTGCCATTCCGGTTCCAGCTCACATTGTAAATCATGTCTGAATGCATATCATCCAAGTTTATAAGAGCTTCCCCGGTCCCCACGTTCCAGATGATGATGGCATTATCACAGCCTAAAATAAGCAAAACCATGCTCCTCAAAGATTAGAAACACCTGTACAGAACACAGTCGAGAAAGCTACAAATACAGTGAGGATACACACACGTGCATAGAAAGGAAGGTTCTGATCATAAGGGGCCCCACTTGCTGGGAGTTAAAAACTGAAGTGACACAAAAGAGACTTGTATAAAAGAAATAAAAATGTTAAAGGAAAAACACAGCTTGTTAAGTTTGGGTTCATATGAAACAAACAACCAAACAAAAACAAAGTACTAAACTGAAAAAGAATCCTATGTTTTTTTAAAGTGTTAACTGGGCTGGTGAATCTGAGTGATTTCAAGTTTCGTTTTCTAGTAAAACAAGCATCAGAATGAATACAGCTTACTTCTTTTTCAAAGGAACTAAAAATAAAGGAGTTAAATAACTATTTAGGACACAACAAAAACTTTGGATGGCAGGTTATTCAAATCAGTGAGGCTGTAAGATATAGCCTTGGTGTATTAAAGCATGATAAATTAAAATAAGTGGAAGGGAAATGCAAAGACTGGCCTGTTTGCTCACAACAGATCTTTAAAAGAGGAAAAAAATAGGCCAAGACTGACCTGATAGAGGTGAGAAGTCCAAACTGTAATCCAATAGGCACAGGGATTCAGAAACTGATATTCAAAGAGGCCTCCAAAGTCAACTCAGCCCTCAGCTTATCAACTCCACCCTTCCTTCCTTCAAGGATCTGCCCCAAGCCCCCCCCACCACCACCACCACCAGGCTCCTTTAAAAAGAGGTACTACTATGTGTTGCTTACAGGACATTAGTTCAAGGATGATGCAAAATAAGGGAAGGACATCCTGGGCTGGCCAGTCAGCTTGCTCAGTAGATAAGGGAAGGACATCCTAAAGGTGAATTCTTGCCAATAAAGCAATTTTGTAAGTGCTCTAGAAAAACTAGCCACTCATACCCAGGATACCTAAGTTACCTGAGGGTTAAAAGTAGGAAACTAAAGAAAAAACTACACACAAGAGTATGAAAAGCTGGAGCTGAACACTGGGATGGAGAATTGACCCTTCCTCTGCCTTGTTCCTCACAGGCAAACAGGTAACTTCAGCCACTCAGATGGATCATATAGTCTTAAAATATGCAGAACACCACAAGCAACCATTCTCCTTCACTTGGAAAAGGGAGAATGGGGATCAGTCCACTGATAATACCCTATGTTTGACCTAGATGAGAAGGCAGCAGGAAATTTTCCATGATGGAATTCCACCTCTGGAATTTTTTTTCTCTCCTTTTCAGACTGAGGTTCTGAGTAGAACATCAGGAGGATTCCCAAATATAGTCAATGGTGATTATAAAAACAGTATCCCATGTAGTGCTTCTTTTGAAAAGTGGTCCTTGGTTTCAATAAGTACCTGGCACTAAATGTTTTATTTAACTCACTATAAATCATAAACATCCTCTATTCAGAGTTAAAAAGTATACTGCTCCCCTCCTTTTTACAGGTGAAAGGAAAGATCTTTTTTTTTTTTTTTTGTGACCAGTACAGGGATTGTAACCCTTGGCTTGGCATCACCCGCACCGCACTCAGCCAGTGAGCGCACTGGCCATCCCTATATAGGATCCGAACCCGCGGCCTCGGCGCTCCCAGCACCACACTCTCCCGAGTGAGCCACGGGGTCGGCCCTGGAAAGATCTTTATATGAGTTATGTGGCCATCACCACAAACAAGATAAGAATATTTCCATCGCCTCTCTCTTCCCATCACAAAGCTGCCTGTGTTCTTCATATTGTTTTTAATAAAAGAAAATAAAATCTCAAATTTGGGGCAAAGGAAAAGATTTCTAAAAGATAAACCTGGAAACTTCTAAAAGATAAACCGGAAAATCAGTAAGAGCACTAGGACCTGCCACAAGCGTTCTTTTTATTTATTTTTATTTTTTGGTAGGTAGCCGGTACGGGAATCAAACCCCAGACCTTGGTGTTATCAACACCACGTTCTATCCAACTGAGCTAAGCAGCCAGTCTCAGAAGATTCTCCACAGTGCTACATAACAGTGAAATATCAGAAACTACATCAATTTTCAGAAATAGAAAACTGATTAAATAGAGGTATATCCAGACAATGAACCATTATGGAGTCATTGAAAATGTTGTAGAAAGAACATTTAATGGCACATAAAAAGAATCACAGTGTACCAGTAAGTGCAGAAAGCAGGTTATAGGGCCGGCCCATGGCTCACTCAGGAAGAGTGTGGTGCTGATAACACCAAGGCCACGGGTTCAGATCCCTAGACAGGGATGGCCAGTTAGCTCACTTGGGAGAGCGTGGTGCTGACAACACCAAGCCAAGGGTTTATCCCCTTACTGGTCATCTTTATATAGGGTTTTAAAAAAAAAGAAAAGAAAGAAAGCAGGTTACAGGGCCGGCCCATGGCTCACTCAGGAAGAGTGTGGTGCTGATAACACCAAGGCCACGGGTTCAGATCCCTAGACAGGGATGGCCAGTTAGCTCACTTGGGAGAGCGTGGTGCTGACAACACCAAGCCAAGGGTTTATCCCCTTACTGGTCATCTTTATATAGGGTTTTAAAAAAAAAGAAAAGAAAGAAAGCAGGTTACATGTAAAGTGCATGAACCCATCTCTGTGTGTAAAATAATTTATATAGGTACACAGAAATATCTGGAACGAAATATCAAAACGGTAATAATGATCTTCATCTAGGTGGTGAGATTACAAGTGATTTTTATTTTTTTCCTTTTGTTTATATTCTGTATAATATACATATACTATTTATATGAGGGGGAAAAAATGAAAGTATTTTTTAAAAGGAAGAGGCATAATTGTCTGACAGGGATCACCCCAAAGTTGGCAGCAACACCAGAGACAGAACCTGGGCTCTGTTAAACCAGTGTTCCTTCTGCTACATCAGGTATAACAAAAACCGTAGTTCATGGCAGGGGCAGGCAGCAGGAAGCATGAACCTGCTGAAATGATAGGCAAAAAAAGCATATATCTGTTCACTTTTCTAAGCAGGAAGTCCATGGCTTTCATCAGATTGTCACAGTGGCCTTAAAACACATCTCCCGCCCCGGCTCTGCATCTGGATGCTGCTGACCACGGCTCCCTAGTCATCTGCTGCACAGCGTCATGCTGCACAGCGTCATACTGCACCTGTGGCTTCCCTCCACACACAGGGCCATGAGGAATGAAGGCAAGGCCACAGGGAGGGCTGCTGAGCTCCTACCTGCGCTAAGAAGCACGTTGCGGGCTGTCGGATGCCAGGCCACAATGCCAACTCTCTTTGAGTGGCCTTCTAAAACCACCACAGGTTCAGTCAGAGAAAGGGTGAGTCCATTTTCTGGAATCTGCCATACCTGTCAGAGAGCGAAGAAAGATGATGCATATGAAAACTATCACCTTTCATGATCACATTTACTGTGACCATCCAGTTTAAAGACTTGCTGTACAGAAACAGAACATACAATGGTATTTGGATGAAAGGCAGAATATTGTGAAACGACTGTGTTCAGTTGTTTTTAAAATGTAGTATGATATTAAAGATCAGAATATCAATATCAATAAGGGTTACAAAACGTTACCTCTCAGCTTTTATTTAATATTATTTGGGATTTTATTTTAAATTTTTTGCTAAGTTCAAAACTCTCTAGTTAGAAGGGACAAAAAATTTGGAAGAAAAACACAGAATGACTGAAGCACTCATGAAAAGAGGCACTGAGGTGAAAACCCGTCGCTAAGTCTGGTTCTTAAGGGGATGGTGCAGTTTTTAAGACATATGTCCCATAATTTTACATTGGAAAATGAAAATATACCTAATATTTTTGTAACATGAACTATACAAAACATCTTGCAAAAAAAAAAAAGATAAATTGGACCTCATCAAAATTTAAGACTTTTGTGCTTCAGAGGACACTATCAAGAAAGTGAAAAGACAACCTATAGAATGGGAGAGAATAATTTGCAAATCATATATTTGATAACAGACTTGTATCTAGAATATATAAAGCATTCTTACAACTCAACAATAAAAGAACAAATAACCCAATTAAAAATGGGCAAGGAATCTACACAGACATTTCTTCAGGGAAGATATACAAATGGTCAAAAAGCACATGAAAAGATGCTTGACATTATTAGTCATTACAGAAATGCAAATCAAAACCACAAGATATCACTTCACACCAACTAGGATGGCTAGAATCAGAAAGATAGATAACAGTGTTGGCAAGGATGTCGAGAAACTGCAGTCCTCATACTTTGGAAAATAGTCTGCCAGTTCTTCAAATGATTAAACATAGAGTTATCATATAACTCAGCAAAATTCCACTCCTAGGGATATACCCAAAAGGAATGAAAGTATGTGTCCATGCAAAAATGTGTACAAGAATGCTCAAAGCAGCATTACTTATAATAACCAAAGGGTGGAAACAACCCAAATGTCCATCTATTGATAAATGGCTAAACTAAATGTGACATATTCAATGAAATGTCATTTGGCCACAAAAAAGAACAAGTATTAATACATGCTACAATATGGACAAACCTTGAAAACACTATGCTTAGTGAAAGAAGCCAGACACAGAAGACCACATATTGTAGGATTCCATGTATGTGAAATATCCAGAACAGGAAAAAATATAAAGACAGAAAGTAGATTAGTGGTTGCATAGTGCTGGGGAGCAGGGGAGAGGTGGGGAGTGACAGCTAAAAGATATGAGGTTTCTTTTTGGAGTGATAAAAAATTCTAAAATTGTCTGTGTTGATGGTTGTACATATCTGAAAATATTCTAAAACTCACTGAATAAGACATTTTAAATGGTTGAGTTCTATGTGAATAATATCTCAATAACGCTATTTTTTTTTAAAACCCTCTTGACAAGTGAAGACATGCAGAACATTCACCGTATCTTAACTGGGAACATGCCTGGGCAGCAGAGGGAGAAGGGGATAGGGGAAAGCATCAGAGTGGAAGAAACAAGAGATGTTACGTTTAACAATGGAAGGCTGAGGTTTTAAAAGGTTAAGAAACAGAAACACCCTCTAAGAAGAAAAGGACTAGGTCACACTAAGTAGCACCAAGAACCCTATAGAAGATCAGATATTAAATAATATTTAAGTTTGTGAAAAGGCTGAAGTTTAAAATAATTATCTTTTTACATATGAGGATTAAAATAAGTAAATGAGGATTAAAATAAGTAAATTATAAAACTATTTTAAGGAACTAGTTCATGAAAAATTTAGAACTGCCCATTCAACAGTGGAACAAGTGAAAAACAAAATTTTCCTTTGTGGGGATTTTTTTTTTTTTTTTTTTTTCCCAAAAAGATGACCGGTAAGGGGATCTTAACCCTTGACTTGGTGTTGTCAGCACCACGCTCAGCCAGTGAGCGAACCGGCCATCCCTATGTGGGATCCGAACCCGCAGCCTTGGTGTTATAAGCACCACACTCTCCCGAGTGAGCCACGGGCCGGCCCATTTTGTGGGGATTTTTAAGAAAGACAAAGAACTGTCTGTTTTCAATTGCTTAGTGGAAGGCAGAGATCTGGATTAGATGAGTGTTTAGGGTTCAGCTCAGTTCTGTTGTCCTGCAAAAAAATGAGAACAAAATGTTTGCCGTCGTGAACAGTGGGAAAAAGTCACAAGTTGAGTGATCCGTTCATTTTTACAGCTAACTTCTGCCTAGGCTAAATAGAACTCTTACACAAATCATAGCAAAATAAACCTGACTTTCGAGGGCCCAAGCTTAGGACATCACTTAATTTCCCCTTAACCCACCATCATTCAGCAAATTTTAAACAAGGCAGGTATAATAAACGAGCATAGAAAGCAAAAGGAAAACTTACCCTGCCTCTTCCTCTCCCTCACCCAGACCACAGCCTGTCCCTGCCCAACAGACTTTGAACCATGCCTCTCCCTCCCTGGGGAGAGTGTGGGCATCTGCTTTCCCCCAAGAATTATATGTTTGCTTTCATCCTGATACACACTATTTTTATTCAAGGGTTTATCACTAGTAAAACAACTCCAAATTGAACTTCACTATATGAATATAAAAGAGGACCAAAATTTTGAACTTAAAAAACAGAAAATAATGACTACTGATTTGATCAAAGCATGAAGGCAGCAGAGAAACAATTACTAAATAAGACTTCAGTGACTCAACAGGAAATGCATTTTGCAAGATTAACACCACCTGCCACCTCCAGATGGCAGTCTAACCATGGACTTCTTCCAAGGACTGCAAAACTTGTGCCTGACTCTGATCACTACTTAAGAATAGTGCATTTTCTAAACCCCTAATGAGGCTTGGAGTGATGGGAGGCTTTGGTTATAATCAACATTTCCAACTTTATTATTATTATTATTATTTGTCTTTTTCCGTGTCCGGCAACAGAGCGCAACCCTCAGTGTCACCCCCGTACCGGACCGGGACCGGCAACGGGATCGCAACCCTTGGTGCTGCTCCCGCGCCTCGCTCAGCCAGTGAGCGGGAACTGGTCTGTATGTGGGATCCGAACCCTCGGTGGGAGCGCTGCCACACTTCCCAAGCGGCGCACTATAGCAGTGCACCACCGGGCCGGCCCCAACATTTCCAACTTTAATATGAGGGCAAAACAAAACTCACAATGGGATGTCACCTTTTCCTTTCTCTAGCTTCTCTTTCATCCATCATGGAATGAAAGGAAATTTTAATGATGGAGCAAAACATTTATTATATAATTTTTTTTTTTTTTTTTTTTTTTTAAAAATGACCAGAAAGGGGATCTCAACCCTTGGCTTGGTGTTGTCAGCACCATGCTCAGCCAGTGAGCAAACCGGCCATCCCTATATGGGATCCGAACCTGTGGCCCTGGTGTTATCAGCACCGCACTCCACCGAGTGAGCCACGGGCCGGCCCTTATTATATAATTTTTAAAATGAGGAAACTCTCTGCTCCTTCTTTGCCTCATTTTCAGCAGATGTTAATGGTTTCCTCAACTAGGCTTATGCATTTAATACAGGCACCTAATCCATTTTACTACCTTGGTTACTCACTCATGCACATTTATTGAGTGGCTACTACAAGGCAGGTGTGGTACCAGGTGACTAAACACAGGCCCTGCTGTTGAGGAGTTAACTGTCTAACAGAAAGCAGAGACTTCTTTCTATTAGACTGAAAATCAAAGACAGCAAATACAAGTGGTGTGGTGTAGAGGATTACACAGTAGGCTCTGGAGCCAGGTGGACCCTGGTTCAACTCCCTCCAGGGCCACTTATTGTGATGATCCTGAGAAAACAGCATCAAAATGAACAAAGGAAACATCAGCACCTCTACCTCCTAGGGTTGCATTGGGGAAAAGATGAGTTAATAAAACCTTTAGAACAGAGCCTGATGTACAAAAGTGCCCCCAAAATGTAGAGACAGTACATTGCAGTGGTTAAGAAAATAGACTCTAGCCAGACTGATAGTTCTGCCACATATCAGAGGTGTGACCTTGGGGACATTCACCTAACCTTTCTGTGCTGCAAGTGTCTTCATCTATAAAATGGGGGTAATAATTAAGCTACCCTCAGTGGGGTGGCTTGAGGACTATGGTCACATGAATCTAACCTATTTGGAGTAATGCCTGGCATGAGGCAGACACTTAGTAAGTGTTAGCTCTTGTTATTACCTGTATTTTCACGAGGAAATTACCCAGTGTAGCCAAGGCTATGCTGGCAGAAGCCGAGTGCTGAATGAAAATACAAGTGCCACCTTCTCGCTAGCCAAGCTAGGTCCACCCAGGAAGGCTCCCTGAGGAAACAGCCTCTAAGAATGAACAGGAGTTAGGTAAAAGGTAAGAAAGAAGGGAATAGGGAAGAAAGGAAATCAAGTATCCAGATTCAAAATAAAAAAACACAGATGCATAAAATGATATTCTAAAAAGTGCATGCAGCATCTAAACAATGCTCCAAAGAGGCTGGCAGGGGGGCTGACAGGAAAAGCACCAGAGTCAAAAAGGTAATGGCACAGGCATGGGGACTAACAGCAGGGGGAGAAAGTAACCGGAAAAGAAATGAAAAGACCTCGGAAATCTTGGGTCCGCTGGTAACTAAAGGTGGTGGTATTCTCTGTTGTGGGCTGTGGAAAGAGCTGGGGGATCCATAAGTCCTTTTATGCTAAGCACATACATCCTCTGATGGTTCCCACAGGTCCTACTCACAGGCCTGTCATCATGTGGTTCTCTGCCCTCTATAGGGTTCTCTGCTACTTCTGGGTAATGGCCTCCACTTTGGACTGAAAAGGTCTTGCCTGCGGCAGCTCAGAGACAACAAAAGGCAAAAACGCCACCTGGTACATGTTTAGTCTTCTTGTGTATAATCTGAAACACTGGCCTG